AAAAAAAAACTTAAAAAGTTTTAAAAAAAATTTAATCACATTATTAAAAAAATTAAGATATGAAAGATTATAAACATTTTAATTATTAAGATGAATATCTTCAAATTTAGAAACATATATGATTATATAAATATATTAATAGTATTATAAATTTTAAAATCCAAGTAATCAAATTATTAAAAAATAATTTTACATAAAAAATAATATATATTAAAATTTTAGAAATTGTAAAAAGTAAAAAAATAAAAGTTAGGAAAGAGAAGTTAAGAAACTTTCATGTTATTTCCATAAAAATTAAAAGTATAATAAAATAGTAAAAAACTAATGAAGTTTCAATACGATAATCACTTTTAATATGAACATTATTGAATTGGAAGTCGTCTTTTCCGAGTGTAGTTTTACATAAGAATGCAAAGAAGAGTGAAATGAATTAGAAGACATTTTGAAGTACATTATACTCTCAAGCGATTCGATGTGTTTTACATTATTCTTCATTCTATGTGGATTAAGAGACACAATTTCGAAGTTCACGATGATAAAAAATTTCTTAAGTTAGTAACTTGGCTATGTTTGATGAATTATTCAATACAAGTTCACTTTGACAATAATAGTATATTGAGTTAGTCTTATTTGCTTATGTGGTCTTTGTTTTTGTCATGTTTGTTTCTAATGTTTTGTTTTTGTCGTGTTTAGTAAGAAGAGTAAGCTATGGAAACTTTTCATGAACTTCAACTATCTTTGATGTCATTTTATCTTAATATATTTTCATTTACTTTAATCCCTTTAGTTTCTTTCTTTTATTTAGGTTTAATGTCTCAATAGGTCCCTATTTTTGTTAAGAATTTGAAATAGGTCCCTTTATTTTTTGGCGTCTCAATTGGGTCCTTATTTTTGTTAATTTGATGCAAATAAATCCATTCCGTCAATTTCATCAAATGGCGTTAATGAATGTGTGACGTGGCCTGAGGACAGTATTGACACGTGTAAGGCCACCTCACACATTCATTAACGCCGTTTGATGAAATTGACGGAAAGGATTTATTTGCATCAAATTAACAAAAATAAGGACCCAATTGAGACGCCAAAAAATAAAGGGACCTATTTCAAATTCTGAACAAAAATAGGGAACTATTGAGACATTAAACCTTTTATTTATTGTAGCACTTGTATTTTTGTTTTTGTTATCATTTCTTTATTTCTCCTACCAAAAAAATTAGTATATCAATTTAAGAAAATGCTTGGTGCGCGAAATTTTGTTTCACACATGATGTGAAAGTTTTCTTTATCTTCTTCGTTTTTTTTTTCTTCCTATAGACCCTATTTACTTACTCCTTTCATCCTCCATTTTTGGATTTTTTGCATAGTTTGTGTAAATTTGACTTAAAAACATTTATGAATTTTAAGTAATTTAAGAGAACGAATTTGTGTCTCTTATGATTTCTTGTCTCATTATTTCTATAAAGTTAAGAAAAATCAAATAGTAAAAATGTTAGAACTTTTTTATTTTAGTATGTGAACTAAATTATTAAAATATAACAAATTACAAAAACTAAGAATGAAAAGTTTAATTTC